TGGGGAATTCTGGGAGTTGAAGTCCACCCATCTTCAAGTTGCTGAGGTTGAGAAATACTGGGTTAGAGGATGCCAAACTAGTGTGAAAACTAGTTCAAAGATGCCAGGCTAGCAGAAACCGACATAAGAATGACTGATCGGGAGCTTTCAGGCCGAAGGTTGCGGGAGGCATTTGGCCCCAACGCTTTCAACTTTGGCCTTTGGCTCCATCGGTTACTGGTGTGACCAGTTTAGGAGAATTTCATTCCAGGAGAAAGTTCAGAACAATGCATGACCAGCAACCACGAGATCGGTTGGCGGGGTAGGAAATAGATCGGTAGAAGATCCACGCACGATGGATGAGAATTTCCCCCGCTTTGTGGCCCATGCCGCTGAAAATTGCATGTTATTTCTGGTAGATGATTGAAAAAAGATCATCAAACCCAGGGCTGTACTTCGCCCATCATTTTGGGTCAGAGAGTGGCCAAGAAGATGCCTCCAAGCCCATAAGCCTGTACCTTCCACAGCCGATACCAGTCGGTTAAGGAAGCTTACAACTAGCCGTCGACCATCCTCCGCTGTATGAAAACATGTCATTCCCCTTTAAGACCATCTCAGTCAGTGAGGACTAGCGACATGCTGTTGGCGCCTCGCCCAGAAAAAGATGAACTTTTAAATAAATCAGCAGAGAACTTGCAAAACACAGCCTAGGCCTGGAGGGGTCCATCTCTGGGCGACATTGAATGGCGCCTAAAAAATGGTACGAATGAATGAAGTCAGAGAAATGCAAATGTGGAAAACCTGCGTGGAATTGAATGAGATAAGCCATGTGTTCAATGCAGTCTGTTGCTAGTGTGCAGACCACGGCCTGTGACAAAGGATTTTCGTGATATACAAACGGATCTCAGTTAGATCCTTGAGATGGACTGATTTTGTAAAAGAAAGAATCTTTTAATCACAGCAAGTTGGAGTGCCCGGGTGAGCTGGGGGGGGAAACAGGACGGATCAGATCTGGTTGTTCCTCGGATAGAAATTCTAAGTCTGTAGACTAGACCGGATCACCCAAAGCTATCTTGGCAATGGCCAACAGCTTCTGTGTTGCCAAGAAAACCACACCGACGTGTCTCCAACTCAGGGTTGGACTAGATGACCTTTGGGGACCCTTCCAGCCACATGATTTGGGGATTCAGTCAAGCTTGACTTGGGAGCGGCTTCACCCATTGGGTTACTTGGTCAAAGTCTGATTTGGCCGAAAGGTGGGTTCTTAAATAGGCATTGAAGCAAGAGACCCATTCCTCTGTTTGGGTTTTCAAACCGAAAAGCAAAGGTAGGGGAAGTCTGCAGTGCGTGCGCGGGTGTGGGTGTGCATGGAAGACGAAAGTCACGAGCAGAGCAAGAAGCTCAGCCAGAACAGCTGCCGAAGGTCTAGAAAAAGAAATGCCAGTGTGGGTTGGCACGGGGGCCTTGGCCCGGCTGGGCTGGCTGCTAATGGCTGGGCGTTTCTGCCCATTTTAGTGCTAGAGTCCGATCGATTGTTGGCAGACGCAGAGAAACCCGGGTGATGGATCGGAGGGTGGCCCAGGGCCCACCAGCTTCTGCAGCAACGTTAGATGGATCTCAGCAGGGTTGGGGGGCACGTGGTGCCTCGCCCCTTCCCATCGAACGGGCAAGGCCGTCCCACCCAGGAGGAGCATCAGAAGATAACTGCAGGGTCCGAGTTCAGATCCTACCCCAGACACAGTCTCCTGACTGGTTTCTCCACGAGGGGTGATCAATTCCTTCTGATCTAGCCATGGATCCATGCCTGAAGGACTTCCAGCATGTGACGTTCATCCAGGACTATCCAGGATGTGAGAAGGTAACTTCATCGACAGTTTGGCCAGTATTTCTCAACCTCAACAACTTTAAGATGTGTGGACTTCAACTCCCAGAATTCCCCCCCCCCCCCTCCCGCTTTGGGAATTTTGGGGGGGGAATTCCCACATATCTTAATTTTTTTGGGTGTGAAAAAATATGGCAAAACTTGGGGAAAG